GAGGCCAGGCTCTCCTAGATCCGCTGTGCTCCCCCGAGGCCAGGCTCTCCTAGATCCGCTGTGCTCCCCCGAGGCCAGGCTCTCCCGGAGAATGGGAGCCGCAGAGCCGGCTGGGAGGCGGCCGCAGGTGGATGACAGACATGGAGGGACGTGGGAGCCATGGGGGACAGGCCACGTGGGAGACCTAGCCTCAGGCTGGGGGTCAGATCCAGGCCACGTGCTCCTGGTTCTGTCCCTTAGAACAGGGTCACCACCCCTCCCTCCCTCCCTCCCTTCCTTCTCTTTCTAGGGAGTGGAGGGGAGGGGGAGAGGCAGGGGGAGGGAATCCTAAGCAGACTCGCTGCTGAGGATGCAGGGTTGGCTCTCACAAACCTGAGACCATGACCTGTGAGGAAATCAAGCAGTCAGATGCTCAACCGACTATGCCACCCAGGAGCCCGTCACTTGCCTTCCTTGTCCACGTCTGCCCCCCACCCAGCCCATGAGCCCCATGTCTTGTTGGTGCAAGAGCTTGTGAGTCATTGACTAAAGATGCTTGGGAAGCGGGGCTGACGGCAGCTGGCTGGCGAATGGATGCCCAGGCTGGAGAGGCGGGCATGGCATCAGGGACAACTTGGCTGCGTAGAGAGTGGCCAGGGGCTGGAGAGGGCCCTGCGAAGGGTCTGCCTGGGTCACAGGGAAGTCTGAGAGGGAAAGGGAGGGTACCCGCTGTTGGGCACGCACTTAGCTTGCTCTCTACACACCTTACGTTATTTCATTCTCATAAAGCCCCTGTGACAGGGGTGTTATTTTCCCCACTTTCAGAAGAGGAAACTAAGGTCCAGAGAAGTAACTTACAGAAAGTGACTATTAAGGGATGAAACCGGACTCTGAGCCCACACCTGACTCTAAACCCGTACCCTCCTCTGCACCCGCTGGCTCTCTGGGACCCTCGGCGGGATGCGGAGCAAAAAACGCACGCTGGAGGGCGGGCGCGGGGCGGGGAAGGGGAGGTGGGAGGCCTGCGGCGCGCACAGTCCCGAGGAACGGAGGGCGGGGCCGGATCCGTGTGGACAGCACGAGGGGGCAGTGAGGATGCAGACGGCACGGGAGGGACCAGGGAAGTGAGCCAGGTGGTGCCCCCTCACCTGTCACCCCCGTCGCCCCGTCGTCCCCCGTCCCCCTCGTCACTGGCCGCGCAACAGGGAGCTCCCAGGCCTGGGATCTCGTTTTATGGAAAGTGGATCTTCGTGAGCAGAGCTCGGGGGGCTCCGGACGCGCGTGACCGGCCGGCGCTCTGCGGAGCTCTGCGGGCGCTGGGTGCTCCGGCCGTAACGCGCTCCGGACGGCCCCGCAAACCTCACTGCTCCTCGCTTCCCGGACCCGCCGGCCCACCGGCCTCGCCTCCGTGACACCTCGGTTCGGGACCTTGTCCGTTTGCGGGGTGGTGGGGAGGTAGGAATTCGGGTCCAGGGGAGAGAGACCTGTCCTGGGCCTCCCGGCACGCGGCCGCGCGCCCAGCGGCGGGTCCCAGACGGACGCGACCAGAGAAGTGAGGCCTGAGAGGCAGGAGCACGACCCAGGGAGCTGTTTTCGGATTTATGGCCACGAATTAACACTGTTCAGAGAAACGGAGACTCGGGACCGAGGGACGAGCGTCTGTCCGCGCGCGAGCCGCTCCGAGCAGCTCCAGATGCGCTCAGAGTCTCTCTACGAAGCGCGCTCTGCCGCCCTCGCCGAGCTCCCGCTGCCACCGGCGATGCTCCGCTTCCAGCAGCGCGCGCAGGGCCGCCCGACGGGCCTGCGGGCGGGGGAGGGGGACCGAGAGTGAGGCTGGCCTTCCGCTGACCCTCGCTCTCGCCCTCCCCCTGCTGGCTTTCCGGCGTGTGTCCTCGATTGGCACTTAGCTGTGACAGAAAGCTGGGCAGTAGCGTGGAGGCTGCCCGTGGCGGGGAAAGCCCACCCACGTTTCCTCCACGGTCAAAGCCGCGTGTCCAGCAGACAGCGACCGAGAGCACCGTGAACGGTGAGCTCTGCTGGGCCCCTGGGGTACAAAGATGACATCATGCGGGCAACTGGGACTCCGGGGAGAGGGTGTCTCTAAGAGGCAGGTGCTGCACACTGAGACGAGGGGAGCAAGGACTAGCCCGCCCTCTGCGACCTGAGAAGGTGCCACCTGCGGCTGAACGAGAAGACGCATTTAATGAGAGTCGCTGCTCTGGAACATCGCAGATAAGGTGGGCAAGTGATGGCAGCAACTCAGAGTCCGGGAGCCCAGTGGGCATCAGCACAGGGCAGTGACGGATGAGCCTTCTGGTCCCCCTTGCTAGAACTCACCATCAGGAGTTGCTTGTTGGCCAGCGTCAGCTCCTGTCCCAGGGTGTCCTGCAACCTCACGGTAGCGTTCAGGTTTCTCCTCTGGCTGAGTGTCGTCTGCCACAGACAGCAAGCGTGGAGTTTCGCCACCTGCCCCAGGGACAGAGGTAGGAGCCAGATGGGTTAGTTGGGAATGGAGACACAAAACCCCTTGGTGAGGCCCAGGGCCTCCGGGCCAGTGTCAGAGGACAGCGAGCTCCTCGAAAGGGTAACCGAGCTAACTTGGAACCTGGGATGTGTTGAAGGAGCCATTTAATCATCACGAAGATGACTGTCACAGAAACCAGCGTCTGCATTGTGCCGCAGGGAAACAAAGTTCAGGTGAGCTGCCCAAGGTCGGTCAATTAGTGGCAGGTATGGGTATCAAATCCTGTCTAAGAATTGATACCTTCTGTTATACCCTGATCCTCAACCTTAGCTAGACACATTCTGGAATCATTTGCTAAGGTTTTGTTTTTTAGATTTTATTTTTAAGCGATCTCTATACACCCAGTGTGGGGCTCAAGCCCACAAACCCAAGACCAAGAGGTGGACGTGCCACCACCTGAGCCAGCCAGGCGTCTCCAAGGTTGCTTTTTTTTTTTTTTTTTTTAAAGACTTCATTTATTTGAGAGAGAGAGAGAGAGAGAGAGGAGGGGTAGGAACAGCGTGAGAGGGACGAGCAGACTCCACGCTGCGCACAGAGCCTGACTTGGGACTTGATCCCAGGACCTGGAGATCAGGTCCAGAGCCCAAATCAAAAGTCAGCCACTTAACAGACTGAACCACCCGGGTACCCCTAACACGTAAGAGGAGTATTTGTTTCTTACACACACACACACACACACACACACACACACACACACACACACACAC